GTTTAACAGCTCTTAAACGTTTCGTCTTTGACATACTGTGTTGATTTTCTATCAGCTGACTTGTAAATATATGAAACACTGACAATGTATTTGTTGGACCAATAATACTTGCTGATAAAATGTCTTTGTATCTTCAGACGAACAGCATCCTAGAGATTGTGAAGACCCCACACTGGACCACCATAAACCCAAACCCAGCCAAAGCTCAGAACTGAGCACCAACAGCACACTACTGGACGACGTAGCGAACTGTTGCTGGAAGGGGCAGAGCAGATCTGTGAGACTGATGCTGCCCAAATCTGTAGCTCGCACCCCCTGTGACCAGGTGTGGGAACTTGAACACTGATGCACTCGACTGTTAGTCAACTGATGGAGACTATTCGTCTGTTAAGGATTTTTATGAAAAATAACTGTCAAGACAAAACACTGATAGTGCCGACAGGTGTAAACGTGTTTGTTTCCGTTTGTCTGTGTGGCGTGAATTGACCTTTAGTCAGCTTGAGTTAAATTTGCTAGATGGGGCCAGGTAACCAGTAAACAGTAGAGAAACAAAGTGTACAAAATCTAATGGAGATCTGATGGTTTATAATGATTTTCAAAGAAGTGAAAAAGCACCTACACAGAAAGAAATCCCCATCTGCTACTGTTTAACCAGTGTTTTCATTTCAAGAGTACCAGATTTATTTTTTTCATTTGCATAAATGGAATACACCACAGTTTCCATCCAGGTGCTTTTTGGAAACCCGAAGGTTACCGTTTAATTTCTCTTTAGGCCTACTGGATGCTGAAAGCTCTCTTGAAGATTGTTCGGAGCAGTTCGTCTTCCATCAGACCAATCGAGAAAAGTGCGTCCACAGCTTGTTATCAGGGTCGGTCTCTTTCTTTGTCATTTGTTACACAATAAAACCTGGTAGATAATGAGTTCTTGTATAAAGCAGTGAAGGTTACCTTCGTTCTTTCTTTTGATGTCCCTTAACCGTGGTGAACTCATGGAAGTATGTTGCTTAAATCTGTTATATCTCATGCATCGTATGTTTAATTCTGCAAGATGTCGAAAGATGTTTTAATCGTGGAAATGCTTTTTTCTTTTTTTCCCACAGATTTCCATCTGTTGCTGATCTTGCATCTTCTACGCTTTGGCAGTGAAGAGCTGCAGACACCTGCAGACACGCATCAGTGTAAGAGATCGGCAGATTTGGGTTGGCGTGACATCGCTTTGACGTCATGAGTGTACCAGATAATTCTCTTTATTTTGCCTTTGCCTTTGTTCCACAGGCACATTCTGCTACATAATAAACAGTCGACTGTTTGTGGCTCCGCTGGATGCACAGACCGCCTGTCCAGTGTGCAAGATGCCCAAATCTGAACACCATTATACTGAATGAGAGCCTGCTTTAATCAGGTGCATATGTCAAACTGTTTAATATGGTTTTGTTAGTGCTCACTTATTCATACATTGCATTTCAGAAGTTTGGGGGGGGAGAGAGGATGCATTAAACATACTGTGAGCAGTGAATCAGCATATTAGAATGATTTCTGAAGGATCATGTGACACTGAAGACTGGAGTAATGATGTTGAAATTTCAGCTTTGCATCACTGGAATAAATTACATTTCAAAACATATTCAATGTCACAATTCATTTCACAATATTACTGTTTTTACGGTATTTCTGATCAAATAAATGCAGCCTCTTTGAGCATGTGAGAAAAATACATTTTATATAATTTCAAACAAAATGTTTATTTTAGACTGTGCCATGCCAGTCCAATATAAAATAGTTCAGAGGATCTATAGACATTACAGGTTTCCTATATAGTTTCCAATATCTTAGCTCTGTTTATTTTATTTTATTTGGTGTGTGATTGAGTGACCGCTTTTGAGTATCTATTTTGAGATCTCTGTCAATCTCTATACATTTGTTTCAGGGTCAGTATTCCTCGCTCAACTCTGCTGCCAGCGTACAAATACAAAGCCCATCGCCGCTGCAGTTTTGATCCCTCTGACAGCCTGGGTTTGCCCTCAGTGAGTTTCAAATAGTCAAATCAGCACTAACACTGATTTCTCGAGTGAAATATATCGAGCAGACCAATTATTTTGGTGATATTTTACTTTTAAGATTATCGCATTGACTAATAATGTGTGCGACAGCACCTTTAACTTGTAGTTTTCTTGATAAATGTTATTCTCAAAACCTTAAACATGCAAATATTAATTTTGCAGAACTGTTTGTCTGGATGGTCCAATCCCACCCTGAACTCTGGCTCTCAGATGAGCAGTCTGGATCTGCGGGGCTCCATGGCAAAACCAGCGGCTATGGGAGGGTCAGCCTCATCCTGGTTTGACCATGAACTGGTGAGACATTATAGGGGAACCCAGTCCAGGTGTTTAAAGGGATAGTTCACCCAAAAATGAAAATTACCCCATGATTTACTCACCTTCAAGCCATCCTAGGTGTATATGACATTCTTCTTTCAGATGAATACAATCGGAGTTATCTATCTAACTTCTGCTAACTGTCATACACACATTCGCGAGAGAGTGGCGTCCAGCGGATGACGTACCATGTAGGCAAACGCGGTGAGGAACACGGAAGTGACGAACGTAGAAGTGCAGAGAGCAAAACACTGGTCACGAATTAGTAGTTTGTAAAGAAAAATTTCGGAGGATTTCAATATAAGCCAAGAGGACACTGGTTTTCCTTCGCTGTAAACAAAACTTGTTTCTCGCGAGACTTGCATATTCTCACCGGAGTTTACGCTACGCCTACGTCATCCTCTGGACGCCACTCTCTCGTGAACACGCGTACGACAGTTAGTGGAAGTTAGAGATTAAGGTTTATAAAGTTGTAAATATGGATATTTTTCTTACACAAGGGCATCACTTCGCTTCGGGAGGCCTTTATTAACCCCCCCCTGGAGCCGTGTGGACTTCTTTTATAATGAACTGGTTCAATTTTTTGGACTTCAAATTTTGGGCTACCCATCCACTCCCATTATAAAGCTTGGAAGAGCCAGGATGTTTTTTAATAGAACTCCGATTGTATTTGTCTGAAAGAAGAAAGCCATATACATCTAGGATGACTTGAGGGTAAGTAAACCATGGGGTAATTTTCATTTTTGGGTGAACTAACACTTTAACTGATGCCCATTGCCCCTTCTACATATTTATATTTGGCAGTTTGTCAATTCTTAATGGCATTTCAATATCACTTCTTATGAAATCTGTAGAGTTTATAATACGCATTTTATTACTGCTAATGTCTGTTTTGTAATGAACCTGCTTTAATGGCTAAAGTGGTTTTAAATCAGGTAATCAGATAATCTGAAAATGTAGTTTCCCATGAAACCCTGAAACAAACAAAAAAATCTAATCTTATTTAGAAATCTGAGGATTTTCCTTTGAAAATTTCCTTTCCTATGCACACTTGAATTGCTGCATGTTTATTTTTTACCTCAACATTTCTGCGGGTTTGATATTTAGATTTTGGATTAATAAGTAGTGCTGCGATTAGATCCTCCTTGCTCCGATGACAGAAGAACAGACAATGGACTGAAACAAACAGAGGGTTTAAATACACCGAACAGAACAGGTGATGAACAAGATGCAGGTGGAACACAGGAGAAATAAACGGCAACCTAGCACTAGCAGACAAACAAAAGAATAATCAGAAACTACCACAACAAAAAGAATGAACTAAACAGGGGAAGCAAGGGCCAAAAGGGGAAGAGAGATGATTAAAAAAGAAATGCACAAAAACAGAACGCAAGCCTGAGATGTTTGTCTTTCAGCTGTCATGGAAAGTTTGTGTCAAATCTGTAATGTTTGTTTCATTGCAATCTTCTAATATTACATATGTGTTGCATATGATAGTGTAGAAGAAAATCAAGGAAAGGCCTGGAAGCGATTCATTTGTAGATTAGATATAACATTTATGTCATTCATATGTTCGTAGCCGTTTATCTCAGTTGGTTTCTATGGATGATTTGTGTCAGCTCTGTATTTTTGGTAACTTTTAATTAACATTCATATTTTTTAGGATTCATCCTTGCCCAATGCATCGAGACACCCGCATTCTGACCAGCTTCAAAATGTAGTTTGCCATGGTATCGCTTTCAGCGTTCAGACCCAATGAGGCCAGAACCCCACATCCGCTATTACACTCTTGACTGATTGCAAAAGTTACCTACAAAATGGAGCCGCACATGAATGTTTCTGCATCCAGGAGATTTTCTGGATTTACTGAAATGAGTGCATGTGCACAGCGGTTTTTTTTTGTATGTGTAATAATGGAAAACATGAATCATTTTGTATGAATGAGAATTGTTGACTTCTGACTACTAATGGTAATGTTCGCTTGTTTTGTGAACTTGAACATAAAATGTAAAATTTTATATAAATAAATGAAATTGAATGGATAAGGAAAGGATAAGAAAAGCATCATCTGGCTTTAACAGAGTCGCTTAGTGTTAACCGAACAATAAAACATTAATGTAAGTTCTTAATGTGAAGCTAAACACAATACTACATACAAGTTGTAAATACAAATGTGTTCACAGATTTAAATGCACATTAAAATGTTACAATAATTCACTTCATATGAACTAAATGCATATATACATTTATACTATGCACATTTTGAAAGGCTTAACTGCACATTACAGGTTACTGTGTCAAGTTATTAAATGAATGCTTTTAAATGTGTAAAGGTAAGGAATGCACATAATGAAAAGCTTTTATTTGTTGTAAAAGGTTATGAACTTCTAAATGTACACTTACTGTGGACGTGTTGCTTTTTCATTTTAATATGTTCCAGGCTCATTTATTGGTAATAAATAATATTGATGATAATAAATCATGAAAAAAATATTGGGCTTGTTTTTGAAGCTTCACTCTGTCTCGCGAGAGTTGGATCTCTCTTTGGAGTTTAGCGCTTCCCACGCGTTTAAATATAAAGGCACCAAACAGAATGCCACTTTTTTTTTTTACTGCAGCGCTCAGCATCTGCATCTGCTTTTAATCATGACACCATCTACCTCAACAAGCAACACTTTTATTTTGCTGTTTTATCTGGTGAGTGTGGCTTTTATTCCTATTTTCGACTAGTCGTTTTATTTTAATATTAATTTATCACAGCTGTCTTATAAAGGGACTTTTATTATTGTGGGTTTCGAATTAATTATAACTCTGTACGTGTCTGAAGACTGAGGTGAGCTTCAAAATAAAGGTTCCAATTAGCGCCAAGAACATCTGACAGCTTGATGCCACAGAATAAGCGTTTTAAGTTCCACAGGGACTCTTTAATTCTGTCGTTTTTCAGAAAACAATCGAAAGAACTTATAATTTATCCTCAAAAACGATTCAAGTCTAAATTGCTCTTGCTCAGGGGAAGGAACCTGCTCCTAAGAGCTTTTGTTGTTTAATGTCGAAGTTAAATAAATTGCGGTTTGGATAGACAGCTCACTAGGTTTTGAGACAATTTTGTGTCGTTTTTGTGGTGTTTACTGACATTAAATATATGAAATATCAGTTCCATTTCACATTTTTTCAATATATGTAAATCATATTCAGTGACAGTCAATATAATGAAAGAGCTTCAACCAAGAGGCACTGAATGGAAAAAGCGGTTTCTTGGTTTCAGCACACTGACCCTTTGAGGCTTTAGCTTTTTCGCTTCACTTCAGAATTTAGTCACAAAAGAATTTCCAATTTAGTGAGAGGACAACAAAGCATGGCAATTACTAATAATGGTCTGCACTCATTTCTGCCCTCGGTTTAATCACAACATGACCAGATAAAAAAAACAAAAAACTATAAAAAGATTTCTCAAAACCCATCAGTTGAGGTCTGGTCAACCCTGACAGGATGGACATTCAGTTTAATATGAAGGGATCCCTGATGCAGAAGCAACCCAGTGCACTGTCTCTTTGTCTCCCTGTACATTTTGTGTGGTTTTCTTTGTAGTGACCAGGTCACGAAAGCAAACTTGATAAGAACTTTTCTGTGGGTGTTTTTTGCAATGTGAAATTTCCATTTTGTGACCGGTCCCTCATCTGTTTGTTCTCAGGCACAACAACTGATTAGGCGCATACATGAATTTGTCAGTCCTGTTGTGTTGTTAAGCAATGCAGTGAAAGCATTTTTTCCTTGACCTTAGTTCCTCAGACAACAGGATGCTATCTGTTTTTACTCATCGATTGGGTGACCCAGAACGCCTGTTTGTGATTAAATCAATCTTTGACTCATCTTTAACTCCTAACTGCTTTGATCTGATGATGGATTTGAGTTTTAAAACACTCCGGTTAAAAGAATCTGTAGTCAAGGTTGTCTAACAGGTTAACAAACATTTCTTAATAATAGTTCTTGCCATCAAATGCTCTTTAAAATGCACACCCTTTAAGTTAATGCACTTTTCTCCATAACCAATTTTCAGTGTGTCAAAAGCTCATGTTATTACCTTGGAGTTCATTTTGGGTCAAACTTACCTACTTGTTTTTGAACTGATTACGCAATCCAAAACCTGATCGAAACGGCGATGAAAGAACCATTGGTTAACTCCTTCCCAAGAGAATAAAACAAGCCAGAGATCAGACATCTGGAACCAAACAGCTGCAACAAAGAAAGTGTTTATTTAACTTTTACTTCTCAGATTGGAAAAGACATTCAGACTAAAACGCCAACTGTTGTTTTCCTTTTACAGATTTTTACAATTCTACACGTCAAGGTTATTGGTAAGTTTATACCACTTCCATTTCCTCCATGTCATATATTTCTGAAGTACAACCCACTGTCCGCCTATTTCAATAGTATTCAGTGACTCATACCTTTAGGTCATTAGCTTAAAATATGAGAAATAAAAAAGCTGTGGAAAAAGATGAAATGATCATCTTTATATACATTCTTTAAAGGCTGAATGATGCAAATGGAATTTAAAGATCTTATGTTTATGTATTTTTTAAGTCCAAAAGGGTTTTCCATTTTTGGTTCCTTATCATTTTGGAATTCTAATGAACCAAAAAGAACCATTTTTCTTTGTTCTAAACCTTATGTTTTAACCCATCTTTATATGTACATATGTGTTATAGACTAAGTAGCCACTGAGCTATATGCAAACTCTAGTTGAACTCTCTGAGGGTGTTTCACCAGAAATGATTACCTCACTGCTTCGTAATCATTAAATTATGCGTAATGTCTTAAGAAAATTAAGCATTAAGCATGACCCATAGTAGAAGCTATTGTTAGTTCCTTAACCATTCATTTAGTTTCATGTAATTTTGTATTGCATACTCTAATACTGCACTTATTGTGTATTTGAATGTAAGCATTACTAGACAAATTAAACCTTAAAGTGGAAATGAAGCAGTCAGTCAAGTTAACATTATTTAGTAAAGTGATTTCCACTTTGATTAAAAAATATATAACAAACATGGTTAATGTAACCATTTGAAAGAAAAAAGGTTGTTTTGTTATAGCTTTTAGAGCAAGGACGCCGCCATCTTGCAGTACCACCGCGTGTGACGTCACGGGGTTGGTTCGCTCCGATGGCCAGTGAAGTAATAGCAATTTCTTTATTTTGAACACACGCTTGTTTTGAAATGGAGGAAGATTACATTGAAAGCACTGTTAAGGCCATAATAAGTGCAATTGCCCATGCATTTGAGCCGATACAGCGGTGGGACTGAGCAGTATTAGGGGTTGAAGAAACCACACCAGTAAAGTGCAGATCGGAAACAATACTCGTTTACGTGGATACTCCTCAAGACTGTCATTCCGACGTGCTTCATGTGCATTTGCTGATGAAGGCGCGACAGAAAGCTCAAATTGGTAGGCTACTCACGTGCTGTCCGAGCCGAGCTGTGGCAGAAATGATCTATCACAACACCTGAGTACCGCATTTAAATCTCTTTCAGAAAAGGTCTATCACAGCGTGTAAATACCGCACTGAAATCTATTCCGTGCTGTCTCATGCTTGAATGGCTTAAAGACTTTAATATTTCAACTGACAAGGCTTAAAACACGTGAGAATGATAAACTTTATTGAGGAAGCAGCACTGGTCCGATTGTTCAGATAACGTTAGGTGATTAGTTAAACACTACGCCCTGTTAACAGCAGGAAAGCTAATTGTATTCGCAGATGAACATAAAATATGATACATACAACTGGTGAACCAGTCAATATAATGCATATGTCTTAATGGTCTGACATAACAATAAAATGCGACATGAATGATGAAGCGTCGTCTGGTTACATCACCTTGTGCCTGGCATTATGAAAACAATGTTTGGGATACCACGATCAAAACTTAGCATATAGACAGTTGGATGTTGAATATTCATCCAAATTATGGTGAAAACCAAATTATTTGTGTGTTAAAATAACATTCGTGTGTTCAAAATGTAAAGAAATGCTTCTATTACTTCACTGGCCATCGGAGCGAACCAACCCCGTGACGTCACACGCGGTGGTACTGCAAGATGGCGGCGCCCTTGCTCTAAAAGCTATAACAAAACATCCTTTTTTCTTTAAAATGGTTACATTAATCATGTTTGTTATATATTTTTTAATCAAAGTGGAAATCACTTTACTAAATAATGTTAACTTAACTGACTGCTTCACTTCCACTTTAAGAGTCTTGGAGGAGGACTCTTGTAACCACCTAGCAAGCATTCCAAACACCTTAGCAAATCATTTTGGAGCATTTGTGGTGAGGTGTGCAACACCCAAACTTGCATGTGAAACTGAAAAACCATGCTGCCGGTCAACATGTAGGTTAAAAGTGACAGATGAGTTAGTTAAACGCAGTCAATCTGTCCCTATTAAAACCTAACCGGCATTTACAAACAGCAGATCATCTACCATGTCCCTTACTGACCAAATGATTGCACCCTCTGTTAGAATAAAGCTTTGACTTGTGCAAATTGACTATAGGGAGTTTTGACTCAGCCTTTAACTAAATGATTTTCCCTCAGGTTTCAAAATGTCTGTAATTTGTGTATGAGTGTGTACTTAGAAATCAGACACCAGTCAATTCAAAACTCCTTTAATCATGCTGCAAGTACTTTTAATCTTGCACAGCTAGAGTTGTGCGTGCCACATGAAGATATGAGATTACTTTTGATGTCTATTGTTTGCATTCTGTTTCACACATAGGTTATAACGGATGTTACAAGACATCCAAACAGGGAATCTCGAGATGTCAACGCTGTACTCAAGAGTGTTCTGGTTAGTAGTTGCACGACATTTCCCAGCATTTGAGCACTAGTGAGCTTTGAAAATGACGCAGGATGGTTTTGAATTCTGGATTCATGTTGTCCTTCTTATTATTTGCTTCGTACGCATTCCTGCTCTTACTGTGTGTGATTCATCAGAGCACATTATGACATAGAAGTAAAAGTTTGTCTTCATTATTTTCCGGCAAATCGCCTCTGAAACAAGATTATTTTTCAGCTGATGTCACTAAGGATTTTTGGGAGGGAAATGTGGAAATGCCCACATTTCATCATCCAATTAATTTGCACTGGATAAAATCAACCCAGTTTCTCTTCATTGAATATGCCTTTTCACCTGATGTAAAACATGTAAAAATGAATGAAGACTGGGAATGTGTATTAAAAAAGTATATAGAGTCAGTTTCATGTTGACCTCTTGGTGGTTGTTCATACAGGACATGTTTTTTCATTTCACTGTGCTCCTTTTCCATATTTTTTCTATGCACACATGCACGACGGACGTGTTTGACCATTGCATTTGCGTCTTGCACCTTTAAAAAAAAAACTATAAAATTAAACATTCAATTTTAAAAACATGCACCTCTAGCAACATACGTTTTTAAATCGCAAAATGTCGGATTAAATGTGGTCGCATTTTTCCATTCCATTGCGGTACTTCTCAATTGTTTACTATGTAAATGCACTAGAGAGACATGTTTGATCATTGCTTTTGTGTCTTTTTAAGACAACAAGCGTTCTAAAAATGTGGTGCTCAAGTTAAAATGTCAACTTTCAACAGCGAAGTGAAAAGACAACAATGCCTAGAGATGCAATTTTAAAAAGTGAACTTATTTTAATTTGAGTGCTGCATTTTTAGAGTAATGTGTCTTGCAAATGATGCAAAACGCGAGCGCAATGGTCAAACACATCCTTCTGTGATGCATGCCTACGATGCAAAATAAAGGTAATTGCGACTTTTTCTCTCCCAATTTTAGGTTAATTTCACAATTAGGATGTTTTTGCATGTGAAGGATGCAAGATATAAACTCAGAATTGTGAGATAATAAGTCGCAATTATTTTTTACAATTCTGTGGCAGAAATAGGCTTTCATAAAAACCTGTGCAATGGAATGCAAAAATGCTATTTTTTTTACATCTAGCATGTCTTTATGTAGAAAAACTGTGCAGTGGAATGAAAAAAAAAACAGCCCCTAAAGCATGTTTTGTGTGAACAGCCCCTAAAGCATAGTGTGAAAAGTATAATTTAAATGTAAAGTTTTTATTACTAATTTAATAAGCAGTAGATAAGATGTTTGGATGTTTTAGTAGATTTTTTTGTTCATTGATGGCTCTCTATGTCTTTGTGTATTTGGGTGGAAACAGAGAATAGAAATGAGATGGAAGTTACTCCATGCACTCAGGACAACAATAGATCATGCTTCTGTAAACCAGGTTTTTACTGTACAAAAGGAAACGATTATGTCACACACTGCCATAAACCATGTGTTCCCTGTGGGAAGGGTACATTCTCCAGCACACCCTCTCTGGGAGCCTGCAAGCCTCATAAAAAGTGAGTAATATTTATACATATGCTACTGTTCTTAAGTCTGCACTAAAATAAAAACATATGGAAGCCCATTTTCATGGAATAAAAAGATTAAAAAAGGTATTTGCAACTTTTATCTCACAATTCTAATTCTGAGAATTGTTTATTTTGTCACAGAATAAAAAATAAAATTGCAACTTTTTATCTCACAATTCTTTTTTCTCTCAATTGTTAGCTCATATCTTACATTTCAGATTTTTCTTAGAATTGTGAGTCTATCTTACAATTCTGAGTTTATGTCTCAAGTCAGTTTTTTCAAGTTTTTTTTTTTCTCACAATTTTATCTAGCAATTCTGAATTTGAATCTGGCCATTCGAATGTAACAATAACCCACTGAGGAGAACTAGCCCAAAAAGTGCATTCTCTTGGAATGAGATCAAACACAAATAGACAGAACTAAATAAAGAAAAACCACAAGTAGACTTATAACTTGACAAACCTCACCACACAGCGGTTACAGTGGACAATACATAACAAGGAAACATAGCAAACCTGAGGGCTTGGAAATGGAAACCAATAAACATGAACCAATAAAAAAACAGAATTGATTAACAAGGTAACAAGACAATAAACCCATGAGAAGACATGAAATAAAGAACCAGGATCACATCAAGGGAATATGGAAGGTGGAAGGGGACAAAAAGTATAAATGGAACTCATGAAATTTATTTATGTTAACACGACAATTTAGAATTTTTTGGATGTGTAGACACATTCTGGCCATGTTAAGTCAGCAGCGGTTGTGTTTCTTTAGTATGTGTAAAGATGCCCAGATTTTGACTTTGAAGGGAAACTTCACTTCGGTCCGTTTCCAAAACTAACTCTGGTACATACTTTAAATTAACTATGAACGCAACACGGACCAAATACTTCTAAAACAAACCGAAAACAGGATGTAATGACAAGATGCGATGCGACATGATTTGATGATGCGGAACAAGCGGTGTATCCAAAACAAAATGAGCAGAGGGCAAACGTGGAGCAACGAGGATGCAAAGTTCCTTTTATGAGCTCTCTGTGAGTTCACAGGTGGTGAAATAAAACCATATGTACTCGCAACAATGAGCTTGCTTAGTCCAGCAGACGGCATTAGGTGTATTCGACTTAAAGCAGCACTGAGCAGACCGATCGGTAAATGGGTACATAGATGTCATACACCGATCGGTCTGTGAACAACCTAACATGAACACACCTATTTTTTGGGGTGTTCGGTAAGTTCCGTCACAAAATATATGTCATTCAACCCAACCAATCAGGTTGTGAATGTATTAGGCGTGTAACGGTACACAAATATGACAGTTCGGTACGTACCTCGGTTTTAATGTCACGGTTCGGTATGATTTTGGTACAGCAGGGGGGAAAACTAAACTTTTTTATTTTTTTTTATGGTTTACTGAACAAGTTGCTCTTTCTTTAAATACATTCAGTTATAATTTTAATTTTCTTAGTGATAAAAATCTTATCAGCTTATGCTTAAAACTATAGGGAGACCTTTTACATTATAAGGTTACAATTAGGCATAACAACTTAACCCAAACTTAAATTTAATTGCTATTTATTTTTAAATAGATGATCAACATTCAACTTTAAAAAAAAAAAAAATTGTATGCAAACATGTAAATTGCACATAAATTAAATTAACTTAAATTAATAAACTTAAATTAACTTATAAATAATAAAATTTCAATTACAAAAAGTTATTTGTTAAAATATATTCAATTACACATTGGCTGTCATAGCATGTTTCATAGCAGATTAATTTAAACATACTGTACATTAAGTAATTAAGACTAACAGGTTTAGTAAAATAAAATGAGTATATGGTGTAATATTTCGCAAAATGCTCCTCTCTAGACTTCATTTCTCTAGTGAACTAACGAGCTGTGTTTTATTTCCACGCTGTATTGTTGATGTCTTTCCGCGGTTGAAACACTGATTGAGCAATTACATGAGGCATGAGATGTTCAGTCATGTTTATTCGCGGTAAAACTAGTAGTACAGAGGAAGGAATGATCGAGTTCACTCGCGCTCCGCTCTGCACAAATCTGCGGGACGTCACGGCTCAGACACGGGAACCAGAGCTAATCGCGGCTGCTCTAGTCAGTGCTTGTGTTGGGATTATACCAGCACGTTTCTGAACCTTCCCAGAAGCTGCTCTCTAAGGCGTTTATACAGCGATCTGTCGTGCCACATAAAAGACGGTCAAACGCCATTTATTATTTGAATTTCCGGAGAAGAAGAAGAAGAAGAAAAAAACAACAACTGTATTCGTGCGGTACACATGCGTACCGAACCGAAAGACCCGTACCGAAACGGTTCGGTACGAATACGTGTACCGTTACACCCCTAGAATGTATCACTATGCCTTTAGGTTTGGTATCTTTAGGTTCGCTGTAAATAATGCCAGTGTGAACGCTAAGCATACCAAACTGGTCTGGACCAAACAAACCAAGAGAACAGAACTACATGTGTGAACGCACCCTTAATTTACTTTTACATCTTAATTTTTGCTGCATTCACTTTCGCGTCCATACACCCGAAATATTCGCACTGTGCTGCGGCTCTGCAGCATGAACTGTATGGAGCAGAGCAGACACTTTCAGTTTACTGTATGATTTTTATTTCTATAAAAAAGCCAAATGACAGTGGGGGCGGTACCGCGGTGGGCAATGTATTTGGCAGCAAGCCTACATCATACACAACGCACTGATACATTATCCCTTGTGAACAAATATAACGCCTGTTGTTTGCATATGTGTATACCAGTGTACCATTACATTACGTTACATGTACTTATATTAACAATAAATTATGCATAATTACATGCAAGTAACCCTAATCCTAACCCTACACTCTTAAAAATAAAGGTGCTTCACGAGGCCATAGAAGAACCTTTTTGTCTAGATGGTTCCATAAAGAACCTTTAACATCTGAAGAACCTTTCTGTTTCACAAAAGGTTCTTTGTGGTGAAAGAAGGTTCTTCAGATTATAAAAAGGTAAGAAAGAGATGCTTCTTTAAAGAACCTTTGACTGAATGGTTCTTTGTGGAACCCAAAATGGTTCTTCTATGGCTTTGCTGTGAAGAACCTTTTAAGCACCTTTATTTTTAAGAGTGTACCCATATAGTAAGTACATGTAGTTTATAAATATTACTAAATACTTAAATGTATAATTATTACACTGTAACAAGGACACCTTAAAATAAAGTGTAACCGAAATCTGACTTTTTTTCTCAGAACTGCGAGAAAAGAGGCACGATTTTTAGATATAAACTCAGAATTATGAGATATAAAGTTACCTTTTTAATTTTTTTATCCTGTGATGGCTTCCATAAAACTGCATCCAGATATACAGTAATTACTGGAAAATGCAAATACCTCAGACTTGCATTCAGTCCATACAGAGGCCAGAATATCATACAGACTTGGTTGGCTCTTTTGACTTTCAGTAAGCTGGCATTGTGGTAGCTACTATTTTAGGAGACTTAAATGCATTTAATAGGCATGTTTTGAGTAAGATCATGTGTGACTACACATGAATCATGTGTAGTCACACATAGCAGCACCACCAAGTTTCACACTATTTTTTATTTTCACACTTCTTTCTTTATCTCTCACACACATTTTTATCTTTGAGGTTTCTGCTCGCCACTTCTGTTTAGCACAACTTTTTTTCTGTGTACGAGAATCAACACACATCCACTGTGAAGTGTACAAGCAGCTGTAGTTAGTAGAAAAATATATGGAAAGAAGATAAGCCCAATCACAATTTACTATGCAAATATATATCAGAAGGAAGAGCATATGTTAGTATGCAAATTACTCTAACGGTTATTTTCAGTTCTGAACATTCTATCTGGGAAAGTTTAAGATAAAGTCAAATTATTTGCAGATTATGTAGTAGAGGGTTTAGAACAAACACTAACCAGAGTATCTGAGGAATATCAAACCAGTGCTGCCTTACAAACACACAATATTAAGATTGACCTGCTCTTGTCTCATGCATTATCTCTGTGATCATTATCTTTTCCACAGTTGTGGTAAGTTGGGGATGATGACACACCAAGAGGGCACAACGAAACAGGACAGACAGTGTGTGAATGTCACCACAGTGATGCCATCCTTGTCCACTACCACAAATATCATTACTACATTCCCTATCACTAACACTTCCATCCCCTGGACAGGTACTGATAAACGCATGACACTCTATTCACTGTTGGGATGTGTTGAATATACATTTTTGGAAAGCAATGTATAAAGTATTTGAAACTTAAACTGAGAAAAATAGCAGCCAGATTTATCTCATGAAACCTGTAAAGAATCTCCCATATATCACCAAAACAAATTATATATTCACACACACTGGTGTGAAAATTTTTTTGCCCCCTTCCTGGTTTAAAAAAAACCAAAAATTTTTTTAGTTTCACTAAAGCTAAAATTAATAAAGCATCTATCTATATATATATATATATATATATACACAAACACAATGGTGTGAAAAAGGTTTTGCCCCCTTCCTGTTTTTTTTGTGTGCATATTTGTCATACTTGAATGATTCAGTTTAAACCAGGGGTGCCCAAACTCAGTCCTGGAGGGCCGGTGTCCTGCAGAGTTTAGCTCCAACTTGAGTCAACACACCTGCCGGGAAGTTTCTAGCATGCCTAATAAGAGCTTGATTAGCTGGTTCATGTGTGTTTGATTAGGGTTGGAGCTAACCTCTGCAGGACACCAGCCCTCCAGGACCGAGTTTGGGCACCCATAGTTTAAACATATTTTAATATTACACAAAGATAACTCGAGTAAATACAAAATGCAGTTTTGAAATAATCATTTCATTTATTAAGGGAAAAAAGCTGTCAAAACCTGCCTGGCACTATGTGAAAAAGTAATTGCCCCCTAAATCTAATAACTGGTTGTGCCACCCTTTGCAGCAACAACTGCAATCAAGCGTTTGCGATAACTGGCAATGAGTCTTTCACATCGCTGTGGAGGAGTTTTGGACCACTCTTCTTTGCAGAATTGTTTTAATTCAGCCATATTGGAGGGTTTTCGAGCATGAATGGACTGTTTAAGGTCATGCCACAGCATTTCAATCGGATTTAAGTCCGGACATTGATTTGGCCACTCCAAAACCTTAATTTTGTTTTTCTTGATCCCTTCAGAGGTGGACTTGCTGGTGTATTTAGGATTATTGTCCTGCTACATAACCCAAGTGCGCTTGAGCTTGAGGTCACAAACTGATGGCCGGACATTCTCCTTCAGGATTTTCTGATAGAGTGCAGAATTCATGGTTCCGTCAATTATGGCAAGTTGTCCAGGCCCTGAAGCTGCACAGCATGCCCATACCATCACACTACCACCACCATGTTTGACTGTTGGTATGATGTTCTTTTTATGAAATGCTGTGTTGGTTTTACGCCAGATATAATGGAACACAAACCTTCCAAAAAGTTCAACTTTTGTCTCATCGGTCCACAGAATATTTGCCCAAAAGTCTTGGGGTAATCAAGATATTGTTTGGCAAATGTGAGACGAGCCTTTGTGTTCTTTTTATTGGTCAGCAGTGGCTTTAGCCTTGGAGCTCTCCCATGGATGCCATTTTTACCCAGTCTCTTTCTTATTGTTGAATCATGAACACTGACCTTACTTGAGGCAAGTGAGGCCTGCAGTTCTTTAGATATTGTTCTGGGTTCTTTTATGACCTCCTGGATGAGCCGTCGTTGCGCTCTTGGAGTAATTTTGGTAGGCCGGCCACTCCTGGGAAGGTTCACCACTGTTCCAAGTAGGGCTGCACGATTAATCAAATGCGATTGTCATGCACATTTTGATAGTAATGCCGGTTATGTAATCAGCAGTAAATCATCACGTGCTTTCAGATGGAGCAGCATTTACCAGAGGTGGGACCAAGTCATTGTTTTGCAAGTCACAAGTAAGTCTAGAGTCTTTGCAGTCAAGTCCCGAGTCAAGACAGGCAAGTCCAAGTCGAGTTGCAAGTCCTCAGCTTTAAGATTCAAGTCTTAAACAAGTCATTAATGCTTTTTGCCCAAATTAGTGTCTCAGTATTAATTACCAAATTAATTATCAAATTCATAGTAATTTATATCAGGAAGGCAGGTAGAATATGTTTGACATAGTTCAATTTCATGTGAGATGGGTGCCCTTAGTAAAACTACTTAGGTTCAATTTAGGGATTGTGCCGAAATAGGATAAGCAGTGAAAAAAACTATTTTATTAGTAACAGAATAGCAAAGACAACATAATTTCATAGAAATAACAGCTGCAACATACTTTGCATGTGTGCATAAGAATAGCTATATGCTTCTAGGTGTTATATCTAAGCCAATGAGCCATTATTTGGAACCTCAATGAAACAGATTTAAAAATATGTGAGCGGTAATGCAGAAAAAACTGCTTTGAAAGAACTAGAAGAAATAACTACAAGCATACTTTGCAAGTGAGAGGAAACATGCAATATGGATGCAGACAAACTCATGAAGACAATCATTCGTGAATGTCACCACAGTGATGCCATCCTTGTCCACTACCACAAATATCATTACTACATTCCCTATCACTAACACTTCCATCCCCTGGACAGGTACTGATAAACGCATGACACTCTATTCACTGTTGGGATGTGTTGAATATACATTTTTGGAAAGCAATGTATAAAGTATTTGAAACTTAAACTGAGAAAAATAGCAGCCAGATTTATCTCATGAAACCTGTAAAGAATCTCCCATATATCACCAAAACAAATTATATATTCACACACACTGGTGTGAAAATTTTTTTGCCCCCTTCCTGGTTTAAAAAAAACCAAAAATTTTTTTAGTTTCACTAAAGCTAAAATTAATAAAGCATCTATCTATATATATATATATATATATATATATATACACACAAACACAATGGTGTGAAAAAGGTTTTGCCCCCTTCCTGTTTTTTTTGTGTGCATATTTGTCATACTTGAATGATTCAGTTTAAACCAGGGGTGCCCAAACTCAGTCCTGGAGGGCCGGTGTCCTGCAGAGTTTAGCTCCAACTTGAGTCAACACACCTGCCGGGAAGTTTCTAGCATGCCTAATAAGAGCTTGATTAGCTGGTTCATGTGTGTTTGATTAGGGTTGGAGCTAACCTCTGCAGGACACCAGCCCTCCAGGACCGAGTTTGGGCACCCATAGTTTAAACATATTTTAATATTACACAAAGATAACTCGAGTAAATACAAAATGCAGTTTTGAAATAATCATTTCATTTATTAAGGGAAAAAAGCTGTCAAAACCTGCCTGGCACTATGTGAAAAAGTAATTGCCCCCTAAATCTAATAACTGGTTGTGCCACCCTTTGCAGCAACAACTGCAATCAAGCGTTTGCGATAACTGGCAATGAGTCTTTCACATCGCTGTGGAGGAGTTTTGGACCACTCTTCTTTGCAGAATTGTTTTAATTCAGCCATATTGGAGGGTTTTCGAGCATGAATGGACTGTTTAAGGTCATGCCACAGCATTTCAATCGGATTTAAGTCCGGACATTGATTTGGCCACTCCAAAACCTTAATTTTGTTTTTCTTGATCCCTTCAGAGGTGGACTTGCTGGTGTATTTAGGATTATTGTCCTGCTACATAACCCAAGTGCGCTTGAGCTTGAGGTCACAAACTGATGGCCGGACATTCTCCTTCAGGATTTTCTGATAGAGTGCAGAATTCATGGTTCCGTCAATTATGGCAAGTTGTCCAGGTCCTGAAGCTGCAAAGCAGTCCCATACCATCACACTACCACCACCATGTTTGACTGTTGGTATGATGTTCTTTTTATGAAATGCTGTGTTGGTTTTACGAATGGAACACTGGAACACAAACCTTCCAAAAAGTTCAACTTTTGTCTCATCGGTCCACAGCATATTTGCCCAAAAGTCTTCAAGATATTGAAGATATTTTTTGGCAAATGAGAGACGAGCCTTTGTGTTCTTTTTGGTCAACAGTGGCTTTTGCCTTGGAACTCTCCCGTGGATGCCGTTTTTGCCCAGTCTCTTTCTTATTGTTGAATCATGAACACTGACCTTACTTGAGGCAAGTGAGGCCTGCAGTTCTTTAGATATTGTTCTGGGTTCTTTTATGACCTCCTGGATGAGCCGTCGTTGCGCTCTTGGAGTAATTTTGGTAGGCCGGCCACTCCTGGGAAGGTTCACCACTGTTCCAAGTAGGGCTGCACGATTAATCAAATGCGATTGTCATGCACATTTTGATAGTAATGCCGGTTATGTAATCAGCAGTAAATCATCACGTGCTTTCAGATGGAGCAGCATTTACCAAATTAAACTGGATATTTTCCGGTTTTCTCTGTATCTTTCCATGTAATATTTATGTGTATTCAAGTCAAGTCCCGAGTCAAGACAGGCAAGTCCAAGTCGAGTTGCAAGTCCTCAGCTTTAAGATTCAAGTCTTAAACAAGTCATTAGTGCTTTTTGCCCAATCTCAGTATTAATTACCAAATTAATTATCAAATTCATAGTAATTTATATCAGGAAGGCAGGTAGAATATGTTTGACATAGTTCAATTTCATGTGAGATGGGTGCCCTTAGTAAAACTACTTAGGTTCAATTTAGGGATTGTGCCGAAATAGGATAAGCAGTGAAAAAAACTATTTTATTAGTAACAGAATAGCAAAGACAACATAATTTCATAGAAATAACAGCTGCAACATACTTTGCATGTGTGCATAAGAATAGCTATATGCTTCTAGGTGTTATATCTAAGCCAATGAGCCATTATTTGGAACCTCAATGAAACAGATTTAAAAATATGTGAGCGGTAATGCAGAAAAAACTGCTTTGAAAGAACTAGAAGAAATAACTACAAGCATACTTTGCAAGTGAGAGGAAACATGCAATATGGATGCAGACAAACTCATGAAGACAATCATTCAAAAATGCTGTGCTACCATCCTTTATAACTAAGAGTAACAAAGA